AACATGGACCAGCCTGGTAGCCAAAATGCAGCAGAGACGGGGCGGGCAGTGAAGGCTAGACGCCAGAGGCCCAACAATCCTCAGCGAGAGCTGAACTTCACTCTGAGAATAATGGGAGGCTCAGAGGGGCTAAACACGAGAACGCTTAGCTCAAATTAGATCACTACTTTCTTGGGACGCTGAGTGCACAAGGATGGAGATGGGGACTCCAGGTGCTCCTGCTACAGAGAAGAAACCTGAATTCAGGGAAAGCTGGAAGGAGGCACAGGCGAGAAAAGCAACAGGAAGGACTTCATGATCCAAGGAAGGTAGGGAGAAGTAACTCACATGAAGCGAGCAGAAAAAAAATTACCAGATGTATCTATCCCCTTAACTCCTACTGTATACCAGACTCCCAGCTCCTGACAACTCTGAAACCTATGTGTAAAAGACAGCATTAGAAACACAAGGGGGCCTGGCTGGCTCAGTCGGTGGGGCACGCGACTCTTGATCTAGGGGTTGTTGGTTTGAGCCCCACGTTGGCTGCAGACATTACTTACAAAGAAAATCTTTACAAACAAAACAAAAGGGAGAACACCCAGCCAGAGAAACATGCTGACTTGACCCAGATGGCTGGGTCAAGTGTGCTGGGCCCCCTATTTCTATCATTTGGCATCTATATAGTACATTCGTAAATGGGAACTAGAAGTGATTAAGTGGTGGAGGTCTGTGCAGTGTGGTAAGGCTGAAGAAAACGTGTTGGGTCAATGATTTACCTATGATTTAAATGTCTGAATTAGTCCATGAGGAAAACACTGGTAGTCCCTTCATACCTCATGCTATTCAAGAAAATAAGCTCTAGTGTAATTGGTTAGTGCTAGTCTTTACTTTCCTTAGAAAGTTTCCACTGTAAATAAGCAAGTAAGCAGAGGTAACCATAGTAAAAAAGAACTGTCAATTTCTACCATTGTAATGTTTAAACACGAGTGTATCTGTGTGATATATGTGTCTTTATCAGGAAAAAGTGATGGCAGGGGAACAGTAACCAAAAACCTCCTACTTACAACTGCAGAAAACTATCATTAGTCAAATTTAATAATCAGTGTATCCTGGCAGAGGTCAGAACAATGAACTTCAAAATGACAACAAAAATTCCAATTGTGTTTGATCACAATGGAGCATTTCCTCCTTCCCGATCATAGAAGCAGACTGCTATTCAATCAAATAAGCAATCCCCAAATAAGGAACTTTTATTAATACTAAAATAAGGAGAAATGTTTGGGCCAATGAAGTGCTTTGTTAAATTTCTGTAATCTGAACTTGACTGTCCCAATCTCAAATGACAAATAATTTCAGACAATGGACTCGAATGTTGCCAGGCCAGCGCTATCCAAAGGAAATATAATGTGAACCACAGGTGTAATTTTAAGTCTTCCATTTGGAAGACCATTTTCCATTGGAAAAAGAAACAGGTGAAATTAATTTTAATAATATATTTTATTAACCCAATATACTTAAAATACCATTTCAACATATAATCACTATTAATGAGACAGCTCATCTTACCTTTTTTCATACTAACCTTTCAAAATCTGGCACGTATTTTATATGTACAGCTCATCTTAATTTGGAGTAGCTATATTTCGAGTGCTCACTAACTCAAGTAGCAAGTAGCTATAACGTTGCACAGCATGGGTCTAGACTAACCATTTTATTCTGTGGATGAAAACTCTGAATCACAAAGGGATTGGGAAAGTGCTGTGCCAGGCCTAGAATTCTGGTTTCCTAATTCACAACTGAACGTTCTTTCCACTCGGCCAGACTGTCAGTCCTATGTTTTGTACCCAGGAGACAGGGAAGAGTGTCCAATGACAGGCCAAGGACACCTGGGAGGGCAGTAACTGTCAGGAGACCGCATGAAACCAGAGCTCACTGTCAAAAGAAAATGTATGGCTGAACCAAACAGTATCGGACAGCAAAGCAACAGAACAGACATCATCTCAATCGATAAGCCTGAAGGTTATGTGTTGATAAGCACGGGAATGTTACACGTTGAAACATGTGCATGATCACTGGGGACTAAATCCACCAGGCTCAGCATAGTGACTGTGGAATCAGAATGGTGTACACAAATTTAAATATATTTGAGAATTCAGGCCATCATTTCTAACAGAATTCCTTATACCCTAATCTCTACTGTTGGCATAATTTAATCTGCATAAATAGGAAAATACGTGTGGAACTTGATTTAAATACTCTGGCAAAATACTCTGATACTAAGACCAAAAAATAAACTGTGAGATTCTGCCAATAATTCTAAGAGCATTTGAAAATGTACAGACATTTCAATTTTAGAAAAGCACACTGAAGAGAGACAGAGGTAAACGGGGTGGGAAGGGAAAGGACAGAGACGAGGAAAAGTATTTTTAAAACACCAACAACCTCAATACCGTGAGAAAATCACTGTCAGCAACTCAACATAATCCTTCCAGATCCTTTCCTGTTAGCATATATTGAAAAAAAAATATGTCATATCTTCTAAACTGATAAAATGAGATTATACTCATGATGCCATTCTTAAGTCAGCATGCCTTCGTGGGAATGACCACCTTCCATGCAGTTCTCGAAGGGTGCAGCGGAGGGCTGGGCACGTGACAGATGCTACACCAATCGGATCCTATCCTCCAGGGATGTAAATCTTCCTAAGCTGATACTCCCGGGGGCTGGGCAGATGGAGCTGAATCATCCAGTGGGGGTGTCCTGGACAGAAGGCCCACAGATTTCTGCAGCTGAGATCCCTGAACAAGACTAAAACTGGGTCTCCCTGTGTTTTCAGCTTCTGGAAGCTACCTTCTTATAAACACTGTTTTCTTATTTAAGCTAAGCAGAACTCCTATCTGTTGGCCGAAGTTCAAGAACTCTGGGAGTATGGTAATACTACCACTAACAGCAAGAAGAGCTAAGAGTAATGCATTAATTTGCCAGGTACTGATCTAAAATTTTTATGTTTTATCTCACTTAATCCTCACAACAATCCTATGATATCAATACTGTTACTAACTCGGTTTCAGAGCTGAGAAAATGGAGCTCCAGGTAAACTGAATAACATGCCCCACTCACAGCTACTGGTTGTAGAACCAAGATTTTATCTTGGGCTGGTGGATCCTTAAGTCCTAAATTATAAAAGCTCCAATTAAGCTACTTTATGACTTGCTTTTTTCATTAATGATATGTTAAGAATGTCTTTCCATATTGGAAAATACATCATTTTTAATAGCCATATTGAATTTTATAATATAGATTGTCATGATTCAAGCAATTATCTCCTACTCTGGGATACTTAAGTTGTTTCTAGTCTTTTAATATCATGAATAAAGCTGTAATAATGTTCTTTTAGTTTTGAGGACACATCTTGATTTACAAATAGGTTAAATTTCTGGCATGGATCTGCCAGGTCAAAGGATATGTACTTTTTTCCCTATTCTTGATTGTGTATCAAATAAGGGTATTTGTTTTCAAAGCTAGTTGAGAAATATAAAAGGGAACAAAGTTAGCTTTTCTTTGTAAAAGGCCATTTCTGCCTTTGGGCATTCATGTGTGTTTACATGCTCAGAATGGAGACAATCTGCTCAGCTAAGAAAGAAGGCTCTGTTTTTAAATGTTAATTGATGTAAGATAATTGGATTTCCCAATCAATACCAAATACAGTTCAAGCACAGTGCTTAAGAAGTTCCTGAGCCAGCTTTTTATTGCATCATATTTCCTGAGGCAAATTCTAAAGGGCACTCGCTCTGGGATCAATTGTGGAAAAGGTAAGTTATAAGCAAAGGTGTTTCTGTAACTCTTGGAATCCATCCTTTGCACTGGTTTTTTCAAAAATCACAACTTACATTATTTCAGACACCAGTTATACAATGATGTAATTATGTGTTTATGGTATGTTTATTTCTTTTGTGAGATCAATGTTCTCTATTTCCTTTCTCAGAAGGTTACTTCAGTGCAGTAACTTCCTGGGAGGATCACATTATCTACTTTTCTGCTCTGTAAGGATTGAAATACTCTCCAGCTGAGTACAAAATAAAACTTCAGACTCGGCCTGACATCATGCTACCTTGAAGGCTGATGCTGCACTGTTTCATATCACCAGGAAGCTCGAAAGAAAGATGATGTCAAAAAGAAGCCACCTACTTACAAATGGTCAGGGGGAAAAAACCGCTTCAGTGACCAGGCTCTGCCCAGAACAACCCTGGACAGTAAACTGAACATGCAAGACGTTCTCCGGGAGACTGGATAACCAAAGCGGAAAAAGTAAGTATAATATTCCAAGATGGTCCTTTATGAACTAGAATTTTAATATCTAGGGAAAACTACCCGTTAACTTTTATCTACCCAAACCAAATACAATTTTTAAAATTTTATCTTAAAACGAGTATCGAGACAAGAACATATTAGCACAGTTCAGTTGAGTAACTCTGGCAGAGCCTATCTTTCCAAACTGACAATGATTATCTTGCCAGGGATAGATAAGAAAGTTGAAAGGGAGAACACAAGTAAACATTCACCAAACACAACCCCAGTGAAGAAAGAGCTACCAGATGCAAGAAAATAAACAATATAAAGATAAAATGAAGCACTTCCAGCAAGTTCAAGGAATCAGAAAATAAAATAATAAAAATAACAATAACGATTAGCTCAAAGACCTTCAGGCTCCCATCAGAATGAATGAGGACACATTACACTCTATTCTAAGCCGCTCAATGGCCGTGGTCCATCTTATCCAGCAATCCCCCAGTGGAACCCAGCTCTTAGGGAAGGGGGGAGAGATGGATAAGGACTCAGTGCAAACAGTGCAGAGCTTGTCTCACATTAAGCAAATTCATGAGACTAAATAGACTCTTTTGTTACTGCCTCAAAAAGAGGTAAATAGCATGCGAGTTTGGTTAACCCACGGAATTCAGTAAGTTAGAACTTTCAGGCAACGAGGACATCGTTCACGTTCCCTTGAAGATTTAGGAACTCACCTAGGGCATGGCTACAACTCCGGCAGGATTCTGTTAGACTGACAATTATTTGCTGCAGATCAGCTCTGGGGGGAGTAGGAGAAGGGTTGGGGTTTTTCCAGCCATTACATTTACAAGACTCCTCGGCCTAAAAAAGGAATAGAGAAAATCATGTAACAAGCAGCAATGGACTCAACATTTTACGTGAGATCAATACACACTAGTTACAGGACAGCTATCCTCCCCGCTCCTGACTTTGTAACTTTCAATATATGCACAAGAAACAAAAAAACAGAGAAAAAGGCAAAGGGAGTGTTTGATCCAGGCATTTTGTGTTTTTGTAGTTTTTTTGTTTGTTTCTTTTCTGCTGGCTGGAATGTGAGTGCTGCAGCTCAGACAGCAGACCCATACACTTTGGTACCATTGCCCCAAGCAAATGTCCATGGAGTGGTCGTCTTAAGGAATCCAGCAAAGCCTGAGGCAACAGGCCAGATTCCTGAGGTACCTGGAACACAGCCGGGGCCTTGGCCATGATTGAGCCTTGCAGGTTCGAAGGCCCCCCCACCCCCCCCACCCCACCCCCACCTCCCCTCCCTATGCTGCTGCAACTCTCCTCTGTCCCATAACGTAGAAAGGAAACCCACAAACTGAGTGAAGTAGTAAATTAAGGACTTAGCAGGAAGAGGGACATGCCCAGGGGAAGGCCACATTTTGCTGGCTTTCAAGTCTCCTAAGTAGGCTCCAGCTTTAGAAAGAGAGAGGTCTCACCGTGTATGGGGATTTCTACTTGTGATATTTCTTTCCTGGAGGTTTCCTGAACTGCAACACTATTATTTATTATTTGGTAAACACTTTTCTTCATTTTCAGATATTCCATACTTCCACATTCCCCTGCAATTTTCTTGGAGAACAGTGAATACAATACCCAGCCTTTATAGGTGACTTAAGGCAAAATGTAGGAGGATAGAAAGATATCAACTATTTCAAAAATAAAATAGCATGAAACATAGCCGGTTGGCTTGTCATTGATTGGCGGTGTAGAGAGTTTCTCTTCGGCGTGTACACTGTCTGGTTGAGATAAACTACCAGCTACGTGACTGTTGAGCAATTTGAAATGTAGAAGGTCCAAACTGAAATGTGCTGTAGATTTACATACCAGATTTAAAAAACATCAATGCAATAAAATATCGGCAGAGCTTGCTAATAATGTTCACACTGGTTACATGTTGAAACATTAATATTTTAGGTGCATGGAGTTAAATAAAAGATACAAATTCATTTGACCTGTTTCTTTTTACTTTTTTATTTTTTATTTATTTTTTTTATTTTTTTTTTTTATAAATTTTTTTTTTTTTCAACGTTTGTTTATTTTTGGGACAGAGAGAGACAGCATGAACGGGAGCAAGCAGAGAGAGAGGGAGACAGAATTGGAAATGGCCCAGAGGCTGCCATCAGCCCAGAGATGCCTGACGCTCAAATGTAAAACTCAATGGATCATGAGATCAGGTGACCTGGCTGAAGTCGGACGCTTAACCGACTGCGCCACCCAGGCGCCCCTCTTTTTACTTTTTTAATGTGGCTACTGGAACATTTAAAATTACATATGTGGTTCACATTCTACTTCTTTGGGTAGCACTGGTCTACAAAACATCGCATAAATTTTTGTGCTCAGGCTTTGTGTTCGATCTTTGATCAGAGATTTTTTTCTTCCCGCTTCCCACCACCTCCCACCCGCCAGCCCACAAACCCCATAGCAGATAGCTGAAGTTAGTAGAAGTCTAATTTGTAGAAAATTGGAGAAAGGCTGCTACCTTAACCTCACACAGAAAATTCTCCAAGACAGGGGCAGTTTCTGAAGTGTGTACACATATAGGAGAATAAGAAATGAAAGAATACATAACTGGCAAGGCAAGAAGGGCCAAGGTGAAAGAAGGAAAACGTGTTTCTACAGATAAGACCCTATGCTTTTGAAGATAAGTCCTTTGCAGTGGGCCCTGCGAACGTTGGCAAGCCCAGCCTGACTGCTTCTCACATTTTATCACATTTTATCATCCATGAGGATGGAGAAGGAAGACCAAAAACAGCAGCTTAACAGCACAACCCCCAATGAGTAGTAGCTCAAGCAACCCTCTTATGTTTGGCCAGGCATCAGGAAGGATCTGACTATCAAACCCTACTCTTCACTTACTAAGCTGAACTGGGCCGTGAAATTCCCTATAATGAGCCAGCCACTTCTTCAGAGACTGGAAAGGTCTCAAAGAGCCATGTTTTTGAGAAGGGCTCTCATGACAACTTCCACCCAAGAAAGCATCCCTATAATCTTTGTAGGGATGGAGGAAAACACCCCCATTGTGGACCATTCCTCTCCTAGCAGTGGAATAGCTACCCAAGGGACTCCCACGGCCTCTGGCTTCTCTGAGCAGCTGCCCTTTCCAAAAAAAAAAAAAAAAAAAAAAAAAAAAAAAACTCTTGGTAGAAAAAGAAAAATGATGACAATAGTAGTCCCAACAAACCGATTAAATACAGCAGGATAAATCTAAAAGGAAAAATAGCAATGGCCCAAAGCCTTTCAGTTTGTAGAACTAAATTCCAAGCCAAAGAACTACTATGCATATTGAGTCATTCATTGAACAGTATGTATTGAGGGCCTACTCTGTGCCAAGTACTTCTGCTAAGTATAGAAGGAAAGAACTAAAGATCCTGCCCTCCTGGTGATGACGGATGGGGCAAACAGGCAACACAAATTAACGAAGTATATAGTATATTAGAAAGTGACAGTGCTATGGAAGGAAAGATGAAGAGATGGGAGAGGGGGTGGGGGAAAGGACAGGATAGAATCTGCAATTTTAAGTAGCCTTTTTGAGAAAGGAGCAATAAAGCAAAGACTTGAAGGAGCAGAGGGAGGCGACCATTAGATGTCTGGTGGAAGAATATCCCAGACAGAGGAAATAAAGCAAAGTCAAGAGTGGCTGCCTTGATCAACAAAAAGCAAAGACCAGCATGGCTAGAGCACAGTGAGCAAAGGAAAGAGCTGAGCTGGAAGTAGGAGGAATCCTGCAAAGCCTCAGAGGCAGTAAGAAGGACTTCAGCTGTCGTGTCTCCCTCTCCAACAGGATCCTCTGGGCTTGAAACAGGGATAGGGACAGAACACAAGGACATGAGGCAAGATGTCTCCAAACTCATTTGTTTCTTTCATTTTTTCCTTTCCTCATTTGTGTAAAGCCTTCCCACTTTCTCTTTTCCTTTAGCATCACTCATAGAGGCATCCATTTTTCTGTCATTAGCTTATGTGAGCAAATAATCCAATTTCCTTTCACTTTTAACTTCCAATCCAGGATCAACTATGCATTATTCTATTACACAGGGAAGCACAATAACTACTCATACATTCCAGAATTTATAAATCTCTTTGCTTATCTAGATACAAAGGAACTCTAGTCTAATACCTTAACCAAGGCCCAGCAACAGAACAAAGGATTCTTCTGAAACTACCAAAAGATGCCAAGTTGTCTCGTTAAGAGTTTCATCACTTAGCCTTTCTGGCAGTGACAACCTGCCCACAAGAACATGCCCCTCGCGAAGGACCTCCTGCACCCATCCCTGGAAGAAGAGGAGAGGAAACACAAGAAGAAGCGCCTGGTACAGAGCCCCAACTCCTACTTCATGGACGTGAAGTGCCCGGGGTGCTACAAAATCACCACCGTGTTCAGCCATGCACAGACAGTGGTGCTGTGTGTGGGCTGCTCCACCATTCTGTGCCAGCTGACAGGAGGAAAAGCAAGGCTCACGGAAGGATGCTCCTTCAGACGGAAGTAGCACTAAGTGCACCCTGAGTCAACGTGAGCGGGGAACTATCCCAATAAACAGATTTTGCATACGTTCAAAAAAAAAAAAAAAAAGAGTTTTATCACTTACTAAGGCCCAAGATTAACTTTAGGCTAGAGATCAGGTGGGTAATAACAAGTTCAAAACCCCAAGGAATTATGTAATCTGGGATTCTGTCCTCATTCACTTTAGCTTTTGACAAACGATGGATTTTGCATCTGGGCACATTAGCAACGACAGCCTACGTCTCCTTCTTTGGCAGGTTGTCTATGGGAAGGCAGGAAAACTAGCAGGAACTCTGCATGGACCAGAGTAAGACTAACCACTGCCAGCAGCGGTAACTCCAGATTCTCAGAGAGACAGTGACCCAGTGAGACATGAATTTCCTTCATTATGAGGAAGCCTGAGAAGCCAACTTGCTCTGAACTGATCCAAAAGTATTTCTAGCCTATGTACTTCACCTCTACAAGAGGCATCAGCCTTGACAAAACACTACTCCGCAGTTCAAAGGTATGAGTCTACAGGTAAATCTCTCCATACTGTGCTTGGGGCTGAAATCCATGGGATCACGCCGTAGCTAAGGCAGTGTTGGGAATGGATTATCTCAGAAGACAATGCTAACGGGGAATGTTTTCTCTGTATTTGGACGGTGGGTGGGAAGAATGCAGAGGGAAAAGAATAGACAGAATGTGAACCTTTCCTACTGACTCATGCACTGGCTACGTATTCATTCTTCAAACACTGAGCACTACTACATATCAATCATAGGACCAGATACAGAAGACACACAAGAAATTTCTCCAGAAATAGAAACCTACCCCAGTGGTTCTCAATGTTAGAGGCACACTGGAATTACTGGAGAGCTCTGCTAAGCCTAATACCACACCTGGCTCTAGATCAATTAAATCAGGATATCTGGATATAGATCCCAGACATCAGTATTTTTTTAAGCTAGTGATTCCAATGTGTAGACAAACTTGGGCATCTCTGATCTAAAAGGAAGAGTTACTAATAATGGATCCATTAAAAACACACACACTGGGGTGCCTGGATGGCTCAGTCGGTTAAGCGTCCAACTTTGGTTCAGTTCATGATCTCATGGTTCGTGAGTTCGAGCCCCACACTGGGCTCTGTGCTGACAGCTCAGAGCCTGGAGCCTGCTTTGGATTCTGTGTTTCCCTTTCGCTCTGACCCTCCTCTGCTCACACTCAGTCACACTCTCTCTCTCTCTCTCTCAAATAAACGTTAAAAAAAAATAAAACACACATGCATACTAATAGGCCATGTCAGGAAGATCTACACAGACAAGGGGCTTTTCAAGTGGGAGGAGAGGAGGGGAACAAGAGTTCATTTTAGAAGGGAAACAGCAGATGTGTGCTTTGGAACATACTTCTTACCCATCGCTTCATGTATACCTAAATATGTAGGTGCCTGCTTTCTCCATAACATTTCTATGTAATTAGAGACCAGTGGTACTCTCCTGAGGCTGGGTGACAGAGGAGAAAAGAGGGTGGTTAACATCTTTGTGTCAGAATTTTCTAGGATTTTTATGAAGGGATAAAAGAATATGTATAGTTTAAAATTCTAAAATTATCACTATAAACAAATACATTATAAAATTACTCCTTTTGGGGGGGGCTATCATTTATAGATCTCTGCCTGAACCTTGCCTTTTTTAGTCATGATATTTATCTTAAAAATTCAGCC